TCCCACTAAACCACAATAAGCAAAAATGTAAAATGTTTCCCGACAACCATGTTAAAACGGCCATGTAAAGCAATGGTCAGGTCAACAATCCCCAGCAATATAGTGGGAAAGCAAGGGAAACCATGGTAAAGCCTAGAGGAAAGAAACCTTGGTTACCTACTATTATAGTGGTAGCTGGCCCAACTGCAACAGTTCCTTGGAAGTCCAGTGGGTACCTGGACCCTCACACTACGAGGGTAAAATCCAGGGGCTGCACCCCTATTATTTTGGGGCAACCCAATTTTAAGGGTAGTCAGGGCCAGGCACTGGTTGCAGGCCACCTGCGGCAGTTCGAAATTCTCAAGCCAGGCGGGGGCCTTTGGGAGGTGTTCGAAGTGTCAGATGTTGTTGTTGCCTTCCATTTGCGAATAACGTCCCCTGGAAAGAAAAATGCTTGTCTAGCAGTGAAATCGATTCCCTTTCAAACAAACAGGGGAAAAAAGAAGATTCAAATTTCAGCAAATGGAAGTTGCTAGGGATACAGCCCATTTCGTCCGGCTGAGAAGCGGTTAGGCCAAGCTAATCGGCCGGCTTTGTCACCTGTTCGTTGCAAACCAAAAGCAAACCCGACCCAAGACACAGGAAACAAAAATAACCCCAACAAGGTGTTTATAATATGTTGTTTGACTAAAAGAAGCAAAAAAAACACAACATCCACAAACCATGTGTTTCTCAAAGCAAAAACAACATCAGCAAGCCATGTTTTTGTTAAAGCAAACAACATCAACAAACATCCAAAAAAAGAACAAGGAAAAAAAAACACAAACATCCACACGAGCGGAAAACAAATAGGTGGAACGACCACTGGGTCAACGACCTTCCCACGCCGAAAACAAAAAAACAGCGCGCGATCGCTTTCGGGCCTTCGACACCTCCCCGGGCTTCGGCTTCGCCGAGTCCGGCGCGCGGGTTTGGGCATCGGCGGCGTAGCCCAAGAGCCGCTTCAGGACCTCGCCGAAAAACCGACTGAGTGCGATGCTGGGTATGGGTATTCCCCCTACCTTAACGTGGGGGGGGGGGTGGGGGGTGGGGGGGTGGCATTTTTTGTGTGGGGGTGGTTTTTTGGTTGGTCCTTACCCCAAAATCAAGGGGTCATGGACCCTGTTTCTAGGGGATATGGAGACTCCAGGTAATGCTTTTTGGCAATATGGGTATGGGTCAAAATTAAAGCACCAGGAATTGGACCGCAGGTTTGAATGTCCTTGGTTCCATTTACTAGGGTTCCAAAGTGGATACCCTTTTTTGATCCACGGCCATATCATGCTTTCTTGGTTGTTGCACATGGCAAATTCTATATCATGCTTTGTTGCACATTCATAGGGAATAAGGGTCGCCGGCTCCCGCACACTCCTGTCCCTAACATGAAACCCAACTGAGAGGTCCTGGAAGACCATTTTCTAGGTCCTCCAGTAGAGAGGTTAGAATAGGTTGGTACCCACTTGTTTCTCTAGTCTATTTTAGTAGGGGAACCCAAACACCCAAAAAGGGGAAAGAAGGGCACTACTGGGGGACCTAGAATTTACCTGGAGTCTCCTTCTGACCCTTAAAAATGGTTGGTCCTTACCCCAAAATCAAGGGGTCATGGACCCTTTTTCTAGGGGTTATGGAGACTCCAGGCAATGCTGTTTTGTTTGTTGCACATGGCATACTCTATATACTCGTTTCCCCAAATTCCCAAAACAGAAGCACATTGCACCCAGGAAGCTGTGTTGAACTCCCTGTGAACCAACCCAACTCAATGCTTGGTTCCTTGTGGTTTCTAGGTCAAGAACGTCGAAATGGGGTTTCGAGCCTGCCAAAAGGAAAGCCCATTTGTCAGCCCCATTCAATGGTCAGGGGGCCTAGATAAACAATTTCCAAAAACCGGAAACTTATGTTTGTTGCATCCGAAACAGGTGTCCTCCTTTTGTTCTAAAAAACCTCACTGGGGTGTTCAAGCAACGTCAGGCAAGGAAGTTATGGCATGAAACTTGATGAGCCCATGAGAACCGCCCCCCCAGTGGGACAGTTTGTGTTCCTTTCCCCGATCAAGCCATGACCGAGCTCCTTCAACCCACTGACTTGGGTGTTCAACGAACGTAGTAAGTGGGCTACAACCATGGTTATAACTTGTGCAACGGGATTAGTTCCCTTATGATATAACAATGGTTCTGAACTGCTTACTAAGCTTCCATTTGCGTTGTCGCCCCCTGGAAAAAAAAAAAAACAAGAAATATGTCCAATAGTGAGTGAAATTGATTCCCTTTAAAACCAACAGGGCAAAATACAAAATACTCTCAAGCAAATGGAAGTAAGCTGGTTGAGCATCTAAGAAGGGCCGCTTCCGGGTGAGATGGGCGGTGCTTCGAGCACTGGATCCCAACCACTGCATTATTTGGACTGATTTTGGACATGGCCGTTTGGGGGTGCTTCTGGTCCAATATATATATATATATATGGTAGATCCATATACATTGTTTTTGTATTACATATATATATATATATATATATTATACACAAAAATCAACATTGGATGCGACCATCTTGACAACCCCGGCACAGGGCAGTTTCTCAGAAATGGACTTCGGACGGACCCGACTCAGCATTTCAAACGGAAAGAAAAGGAACTGCAACTATTTATTGGGGACACCCATTTTTTGAGACGTTCCCGCGGTCCATATCAACCCCACGCAGAGGCTCGTTTGTCTCTAAGACGCAGCCGCGGTCCAATTTCTGGTTCCCCAATTGCAACAAGGGGGGCCCTTTTTGCGGGTCTTTTAGTGAAGAAACCGCCAAACAAAGGGATTTGGCGGTGGAAACCGCGGGTTGAACAACTGATCATCCTGTACGCTCCAACCCTCGCAGCGCTTCCAGAAACTGCACACCGTGAACAAAACCCGGCAGGAAACTCAGGGTCCTGGGAAACCGCGCAAACAAAACAAAACAGCTTGCCCACTTGAGTCACAATCAAAACCGATCGGTACACAAATGGTGAACCCAGAACCATGCTTCAAGAAATAGAAAGGCGGATATCCGCACACATTTCCGGCTGGGGCTGCCCCTTACTAACCGAACCATCTACCCAGGTTTTGAGCAAGTGGCTCACTTGATGCGGTTCCTTTGGGTCTTTGCCTTGGTTTTGGGAGAACTCTTCTTCCGATCCCTGGGGTGCTGAAAGAAGCTAGTGGGCCACAACCATGGCTATAAGTGGTGCAACTGGGGTTCGTTCAGTTGTAAGAATGGTTCTGAAATACCTGGAGTGTCCAAAAACCATAGAAAAAGGGTCCATGACCCCTTTATCTTGGGTAATGACCAAACATTTTTTTAAGGGTCAAACGGAGGCTCCGGGTACCCGTCCCCGTCCCCCCCCGCCCCCCCCCGCCTCACTGGACTGCTTGGGCGACGGCCTCGCCTCATCCGCGGCCGCCTCGCTCGGCGCCTTCAGCGGGCAAAGAATTCCATGGCACAGACGAAAAATTCAACGAGCGCCATCCAAAGAGACTCTTCCCTGAGCTGTCCTCAGATCCCCCGCTAAAAGTGACTCACTTTTAGTGGGCTCAATGGAAAACCCCACTAAACACCAAAAGGCTAAAACGCCAAGGGGATGGCTGGAAATTTCAATCGGCAGAAGTTTACATGGGCTGAAGAGGGCAACGTATCCAGAATTTATAAGGTCTATTTGACCAGACTTAGACCGCTTGCTGGTTAGAAGGTACAATGATGAAGACCTGAGAGGCAAAAAACCACAAACGGTCAGGCGAGTTGGTCTGGCACTGTTCAACTCACTTCCTGGGAAGTCGCCACAAGTCCAAACTTGTTGGTCCTGAACTGGTCCCAAAAGTGTAAAGTCCAGGAACTCAGGCAGGGGAAAGGCCGCAAGCTCCGAAGGAACTTCCTAAGTGCCTGGCTTCGGCAATCGCCCTGCGCAAGGGGAACACCATCCCACCCCCCCTTTGGCTTCGGCTCACAGCTCGAATCCGCTGGTCAAAACAAAGGCGCGTCCTGTTTTGAGGGTCGTGTTTGCTGGGTTCAAAGGGGAAACCACAAGGAAAGCCACCATGGCGGTGTCCCCTCAAGCTGGCCACTTTCCATCTACCAAGCTCGCACAAATCTCAGCCTCCCAGAGGCCATGGGCAAAATGCAGCTCCATGGTTTGACTTCTTCTTTTTTCCAGGGGTTTTCTAACCAGAGCGGAAAACAAAAAGAAAAAAAGAGAGCACCACCGGAGGGCGGAGAGAGTGGGTGACTGGCATCAACTTTGGGCACTCCTTTTCTCGCTCTCGAGGCCCGAAAGGCCGTGGGAAAACATGTTCGGAAGAAAAAGCAAGGCCGAACAGCGCCATCCAGCATTCCAAACTACCTGGGGCTGTTCAAACTACATGGTAGAACACCGGACTTCCATACCAAACTCGGTTTTTTGCTCTTGGCGGTCAATTTTTTTTGGGCCCCGAACCCAAATACAAGGGACGCTTCTTTGGTTCTTCGTTGTCTTTCTTTTTGGGGGGGGGGGTTGTGGAACAAAGGGGGGCTCCCTCACTGGTCATTTCTGGATGTTTGAACACCCCAGAGCTACAGCTGTTCCTGCAGCGCCGGTTCGGATTTCGCCTTCTGCCCAGCACCACATTCGCTGCGGCACGGCACGGCACCGTGAAAAACCCTGTGCAAATCCGCTGTGACGCAACTGGTGGCAATTTCTGCGGTCCACGACAAAATCAGCGAAGCCTCAAGTGAAAGATGGCGAAGCGCCCAGCGGCAAAATGAGGCATTCACCTCAATGGGTATACCTTAAAGTAATTAAGTAGCGCTCAAAACCCATTGATCGTTTCCACCAAACTCGTCGCACAGGTTTATGAAGATCTCATGCCCTGTTCAACGCAGGAGCTCTACAGGTCGGCCTTCTTTCAATCAGGGTGCCTGAAAAGAGGCCCCCTCGGCCCGTTGATCTAAATGATTCTTCGTGGAACAAAGTCGGCTGTGACGACTTGACTCGAACCGTTTTGGGCGCTGCTCAATTGGCATAAGCGCGAGCCTCGCGAAGACCAGCCGCCTCATCGGCCGATTTTTTTTGCTTTCTCCGCTTTCGCGAGAGGCGCCGGCAACACGGCGCCGTGTTTCTCGGTGCGAGCCTTCGTGGCACAAGCCGCGGAAGGCGAATGCCAATGGCGCGTGCGGCCATAGGCAACCAAGCATCAAGGTTGCGAGGTGGAAACAGACCAGCCATGATTCTGGCGTGGTGCGAGACTTGCGCTAGGCCATAAGCATACATGCCCATGGCAGGATTGAACTATTCGGCAAAAGGCAAACAGCAACATGACGAGTCACGGTGGCTCGGAAGTGGGAATGTTCAAACCCGTGCTCATCATGCGCACCGCTCGCGCGATAGAAATTCATTCAGAATGGCACTCAGAGGATCTACCAACAGCAGGGGTCGTCCTGGCAAGGCTGAATGAACCCCCCGCTGGCTCAATTTCTGGGAACGTCAGGGGCTCAAAAGGGGCCAAAAGCGGCCCAAAAGGGGCCCAACAGGGGCCCATGGGCTCATGTATGGCCCACAAATAAGACTTGTTCCAGACCTGTAATTTGGTCAGGCCCCGTTTACGAAGCCTGTGATGATGGTCCAAAATCCCCTTTTAGGGGTCCATGACCATCCTACCAACCCCAAGTAAAGAAGTGTATAAAAAAGCACGTTTGGGTAGTCTTGCCCTGAGGTAGCCCTGCTCCCCCAGCATTGGAGGTCTGATATTCAACAAATCCGTGCATTCGCCTGTGCCCAAAGAAGATACATGCACTTCTGAGTTCACTTGCGCTCTTTGATTTCAGTACTTAACTAGGTCCTGCAGTAGAGAGGTTAGAATAAGGGTACACTTCTTTCTCTAGTCTATTTTAGTAGGGGAACCCTCCCCCAAAAAAACGGGTAGACTACTGGGGGACCGAGTTAAACGTGCATCGCATCCTCCATCACCTGGTCGATGTTTCTTTCCTCAATCGCCGGGACAGCTAAGCATGGCTTCCACCTTTCGGGGCCACTTGCTTCTACAAACCTGAGGCGGTGGACACGTGACATGGACATCTCAGTTGCCCCTTCCAAAAACCCGAAAAAAGATTTCAAGGTGATCGCCTCTTGCCATCAGGGCTCCCTCTCCGGTGTCTCGATCCCCTGATCCGCTTTGCTCGCTTTTCCCCCCCGAGCCAAGGGGCGTATTCATCGATGGCCTGCGGCCAATAATAATCACCTGAGCCGATTCGCCCATGGCTTGGGATGGGCTTCCCTACCCACGGGCTTTGAATTTTGGCTTCCCTCCAAGGGATCCAAAACAACAAGGCCTTTGAAGATCTAGAATCAATCCCCCGGAACCACTTTCCAAAACGACTTTGGGAGAAAAAGAACCCAAATGAAAGGACATGGCTGTGGCTCAAGAAATGGGTAACCCCGAACATCGCAGCTTCGTATAAAGACGAACACCTGCGGTTTGCCGCTTAAACTTGAGCCAGACCCAAATTTTGATCCGGATCACTGGAGGGAAATCCTGCAAGATGTCAAGCGACTGATGTCAACCCCAGAGGAATCTGCACATGTTACTATGATTCCAAAAGCTGAAGTAAGGGATCAAGTGTAGGACCTTTCTCACGATGAGCCCGCTTGTCCCCCTAGGTGAGCTCGCTACAGCAGACTAGTACTGGCCCCATTGTGTTGTGATTATCAAAGTCCGGAGTGGACAAAGGAGAACAACCCCCCCATTTTCTGACTTTGATAACCCCCAAACACATTCAAACTACTGACCGCAGCACAACCCTTGTTGACAAATCATCTGTGTCCCCTTCTGGTGATCCTCTGCTTTTTGGGTGACAAGCAAAGGAGGATGAGACGATGCATCCGCCAAGCTCTACCCCTACCAATTTGTTTCACCTCCATGTTTGCCAATTAGGTCAGCTCAAAGCAAAATCGCTTGGGCGTCACCCACTTGGACCACTCTTAAGTGCCTCATGCGCCTCATGTCTCCACAGGGACTCAGCTGGGGACCGGGGGTGTGTATATTATATATATATATATTCACATGGGCGTGTCTGTTTCTTGGGGCCCCCCAAATTGGTTGGTGTCCCTTGGATGCCCTTCAAAACCAACCAAAACGGGGTACCATCAAAAACAGGACACACCCGAAATATGTATATCTATATGCACGTATATATATATATATATATATATATTCACTACGTGGGGATATCCCATGGCTCCCCTTCCTCCGTTCTGCGAAGCGGCATTTGATGGCATTCATCTGCATCTGGCGCCACAATGGCTTTTTGTGCCGGAAGATGTCCATTGCCTGACCAAAACATCCAAGTTGATCCACAGTGCATTCGTTTTTGGGGGTTCCGGAGATTTGACACACAGGGGCAGCACGGGCGACTTGGGCTTTTGCCACTCGGGCTTTGCCACTTGCCACCGGTTCGGGCCATTCATATGGGCCCATCTGTTCCGGTTCGGCATACCAAAAACACGACAACATGGCCATGGGTCAAAAGCCCGTACCCTCAGTGAACATCCCAATCCCCACTGACATAGACTAAAACGGGTGGTGCACCTACCCCAAAATGGTACCATTGGTGTTGACCCACAGCCACATGTGTTTCCATGAGGTCGAGGCCAAGGTCACACCAAAGGCCAGGCATCTTGAAAGCGCTTCCTTTCATTGTGGGAACCGCAACCACTTCTGCGATACGAAAACATTCCAGGTGACGCATGTGCTGCACAGGAACCACCATCAAACCTTTAATCCCGTTTGGGGAGGGTCCTCATTTGATGAAGGTGGCCCCCTGAAAAACCCATGCTTCTCCTTTTTTGGGTGTGTGTGTGTGATATTGAGAAAGGTGGTCCTCACACCAACCAACACACACACACACACACACCTTACCCCTTGACACCCCCCTTTGCCCGACGCGTCGCTTCGTTCGGCCTGGTAGAGGCGCTCCTTCAGCTTGTTGGGGTCGAAGCCGTCGAACATGAAACCCGTGGCCTGAATCAACCGCTTCCTTCCACCGCTTCGGCTTCGCCGGAGAAAAAAAATCGCCCGAGAAAGGGGGAAGGGAAGGAGAGAAATCCTCTGTGTCCAGTGTTCCTTTGTGTTTGTGTCCGATGTTATTTTGTGTTTGTGTCCAGTGTTCCTTTGTGTTTGTGTCCGATGTTCTTTTGTGCTTGTGTCCAGTGTTCCTTTGTGTTTGTGTCCGATGTTCTTTTGTGCTTGTGTCCAGTGTTCCTTTGTGTTTGTGTCCGATGTTCTTTGAGTTTGTGTCCAGTGATCCTTTGTGTTTGTGTCCAGTGTTCCTTTGTGTTTGTGTCCGATGTTCTTTTGTGTTTGTGTCCAGTGTTCCTTTGTGTTTGTGTCCGATGTTCTTTTGTGCTTGTGTCCAGTGTTCCTTTGTGTTTGTGTCCGATGTGATTTTGTGTTTGTGTCCAGTGTTCCTTTGTGTTTGTGTCCGATGTTATTTTGTGTTTGTGTCCAGTGTTCCTTTGTGTTTGTGTCCGATGTTCTTTTGTGCTTGTGTCCAGTGTTTCTTTGTGTTTGTGTCCAGTGTTCCTTTGTGTTTGTGTCCGATTTGTGTCCAGTGTTCCTTTGTGTTTGTGTCCGATGTTCTTTTGTGCTTGTGTCCAGTGTTCCTTTGTGTTTGTGTCCGATGTTCTTTTGTGTTTGTGTCCAGTGTTCCTTTGTGTTTGTGTCCGATGTTCCTTTGTGTTTGTGTCCAGTGTTCCTTTGTGTTTGTGTCCGATGTTCTTTTGTGCTTGTGTCCAGTGTTCCTTTGTGTTTGTGTCCGATGTTCTTTTGTGTTTGTGTCCAGTGTTCCTTTGTGTTTGTGTCCGATGTTCTTTTGTGTTTGTGTCCAGTTCCTTTGTGTTTGTGTCCGATGTTCTTTTGTGTTTGTGTCCAGTGTTCCTTTGTGTTTGTGTCCGATGTTCTTTTGTGTTTGTGTCCAGTGTTCCTTTGTGTTTGTGTCCCATGTTCTTTTGTGATTGTGTCCAGTGTTCCTTTGTGTTTGTGTCCAGTGTTCCTTTGTGTTGGAACCCCGCCCGTTGCCATTAAGATGCTAAATCAACGTCAGGTGAGTAGGTTGCTTCACCATAAAGGGAACGATCACCCCCGGTACACCATGTAGAAACATGGTTGTGACACGTTTTTGCATAGCTGTTCAAGCAGGGACTTGAAGACGTTCGGTTCACCGGCTTCGAATCCAACGCTTTGGAACCCGTCGAAAGGGGCGCGCCGACAGGTGAATTCTCTCATCCGCGTTCTGGAGTTAAGGGCCACATAAAGGAACCTTTGGTGCACGCTGGAACCCGGTCCTTGGAACTTGCTTATATCCCCTGACCATTGATGGGGCTGGCATATAGTTTTCCTTTGGCAGGCCCGAAACCCATTTCGGCGTTGCTTTCGACATAGAAACCAAAAGGAACCAAGCGTTGAGGAGGGTCCCAGGTATTTTTTTTCGGAACAATTTGTTGGGTTGGTTCACAGGGAATTCAACACAACTTCCTGGGTGCCTTGTGTTTCTTTTTTGTGAAACCCCGTTTCGAGACACCGAGGGGAACGAGCGTGTCAAGACTTTCGGGTTAAAGGGATAAAGTGATAAGGGAGATCAAACGCAAATGCCTTTCGCTGAGGATTCAAATGGTGGTGCCACTTTGCGACAGCCCGGCAAGGCGGCTCCCGAATGGGAAGCTTCACTTTCACACAAGGGAACCACAAGATAGCCCCAAAGCTGGGGCGGATTTGCTGCTGGTTTCCCTTTGCCCTTCACCCCTGACGACTCCTGTTGGCTCGTTCGAACCCACTGAGCTTGTCTCAAAATACTTCATATGGGAACCCCTAGCCTATGTCCACCACCCCCAAAATCATTGGAGTCCTTGGTTCCCCTTCACTCCGGGGAAAAAAAAGAGAAAAAAACAAAAAACAAAAAACAAACAACGGTGGGTTCCATGTTCGTAGTGTAGCAAAAAACCACCAGGGGATGAAGTCTCAAAGCGAGTGTGGTCTAATCTGGGCTGCCCTCAACTCCGCCGCCAAAAGTTTAACTTTCAGTGGGTCAAATGGAAACTACCACTAAACACTCAAGGCTAAAAAGCTAAGGGGAGGGCTGGGAGCCACCAAGTAAAGTGGTCTTCCCGAAAAGTTTGAAGTCCAGGAGCTCAGGAAGTGAGCAAGCCAAAAACAACTCAAAAAGTCTTCTCGGGAGTCTTGAACAATTTTCTTTAAACAAAAAAACATATTTCCATCTCAAAGGAGCACCCCCTCAAAGGTTGAGGAAAAAGAAGATGCACTTGTGGCCGACCAGCAAGGGTTCCTTCCACCTTCTTGGGTCGCCGATCGAATGCTCGGCGGCCATTCTGGGCCATAAACCGCCCAGTTCCATTTCGGACGTCCGTAAATCGATTTCTTTTCACTCCGAGCGAAACGGAGACAACAGGAAACAGCGATTCTTTGTAGGCTAATATATGTCCTTTCCTTTTGGAAGCCTGAAGGGACCTGGAAAGGACACTGCAAAATTTGCGTTGGGCAGAAACCACGCCCCTTCTCCGGAGCTGAGCCACGCCTTCAGGAAAGGACACAACTCCAAAATTTGATTTGGGGACCCGAGCCCCTGCTCCGGAGCTGAGCCACGCCAGGCCTGCCTCAGCCTTCAGGCCCTCAGGGCCCCGGGCATGCTTTTTATCATGCTCTGAGCTCCAGAGGCCCCGCACGGAGTCCTGGCTGCGGACCGATTCAGCACGCGCACGTGGCAAAACCGAAAAAGGGCGGGGGGATGTTTCTTTCTCTTCCGGGTGGGTTCTTAAAACCCTATGCCCTCAAGGATATGTGGCTGTGGGTCAAACTTAGGTACCCAAAATGGAACCCTGGTAAACAGAAACGTGGACCAAACTGGCTTAATTTTGACCCATACCCACGTGTCTCAAAACTTTCTCAAAAGCAACTCGTCAGAAACACCCTCACACGCCTCACTTCAGTTTGGCCCAAAGCTCGAACCAAACTGCTGGCACTAAACTGGCCTCCCCAAAAAGTACCGTGTTCATTGTTCAGGCTGTGGTAGGCCCCTGATAACTCACAGGTATTTACCATAGAAAATTAGGGTTCTTCACAAGGGGTCCTGAAAACGTGGGTATTTGGGCATGTCACCCCAAAATGATTTGGTGTCCTGTTGGCTTCCATTGAAACCAAGGGAAACTGGGTACAAAAAAGGACACACATGACAACCAGCGTGTCTTCCGGTTGGCTTCCAACCTTTTTGGTGGCCCCGGATTCGTGCAAAATGGTTGGCTTTCCTTTCAAACAATGGCTTGCCCTTGGTTTCGGTCTCGTTTGTTTTCCTGGTTTCCCTTAACCCTTATATAATATATATATATACATATATTTATACGTATACCCTTATATAATACGTATATGCGCATACATATATATATATATATATTATGGCCATGGGTCAAAATCCAAATCGTACCCCCGGTGTGAACATCCCATCCCCACAAAAATAGGTTCTAAAATGGGTGATGCACCTACCCCACAATGGTACCATTGGTTTTGACTCACAGCCATATATATAAATATACATATATATATATACATAAATAAATAAATATATATATATATATATACACAAACTCAAAAAGGATACCCGCCTTCAGCCCGCCAGTCTCGTGCACCACTGGAAGGGTGGCATACCTCAGGTCTTGGTGGCTATTGCCTATAGTGGGAAACAGTCTGTGGGTTCTGTGGGCTTGGCTTGGTCCAGAACCAAAAGGTTAGAATAAGGGTACCCTTTCTTCTGTAGTATTTTTAGTAGGGGAACCCTCCCCGAAAAAAAGCTCGTAAAAGTGCACCTAGCTGAGGGACCTAGTTGGGTTTGTGGGAACGTGGACCGGGTTGCCATTGAAATCATGTTAGGGGACCGATTCCCATTTCGAGAAAGGTTCAAGACTCGTGAGTGCAAGAATAAGTCAGAAGATTGACGCTTGCCCAACTCAGGTCACTGAAAACCAAGATGCTGCTGGGCATACATCTGCGGCAGACCACAAGGCTCGTACCTGACAAAGCCCCACACAGTGGAGATGAAAGAAAACCAACATGAAACCACACTGGCCTGGCTGGGCTGGCCACACTGATCTGCTAAAAGTGTATAACTTTCAGCGGGTTAAATCAGCCACCATGTGGATGAGGTGCCCAATTTTGAGACATCGGCGTGGTATCTACCTCTGCCCCAACCATAGCATAGTGAGCCTTAACATGTAAAGCAACTAGGTCCTCCGGTAGAGAGGTTAGAATAAGGGTACCCTTTCTTCTGCCCAAACGCTCCCGATCAATTTAGGGCCCTCCAAACAGCCAGGTTTTGAGACACCCAAGCAATCCCGGGCACTCTAATGGAGGGGTCGGGTCTCCCATGGAAAGCCCCAGGAGCCTCCGGGTGCAGTCTTTTTTAGTCGGGGAACCCTCCCAACCAAAAAAGGGGTGAGAGAGGGCACTACTGGGGGAGAAAGTAACGTCAAAGGAGTGCCAGAAATGGCCTCCGGCTTTCCCCAGGCTACAGTTTCAGGGCTTCGCATTCGCATTGCGAGGAAGGCGAGCTCCGCGGTGGCGCGGGCGCTTTCGGCTTTCGTCTCCCGCGGCTTTCGCGGCACTGTGAGGGCATCAGGAGGATGTCACAGGCAGCCATCATGCGGTGCTCGATGATCGGATCAAAGCCGACCTAGGCGAATCACAACCGGGACTTCCATGGCAAACGAAAAGGCACCAAATTCCGAAGGTACTTGATTTTTAAAGCGACACCGACACCGTGGTTACCTCACCACCTTTTAAAACATCACCCCCGCAAAGGGACAATCACCATTCGTGGGCCCAAAAGGTGATGTTTAAAACCACCAGAAAGGGAAATTGTGGGAACCTTGAAAAAAGCAAGAACGCTTTAGCACAACTGGAGGTCTGGGATGGCTACGCCTGGTGTTAAAGGGGGTCCACCCAAAATGATGTAGAAAAAGCACAACCAAATGGACAGCCGCTCAGAATCCCCCTGCATGCCGGACGATCACGTGATGAGGACTCTGTCCGAGCTTCCCTCTACCTTTCATCTACTTGTTTTGTATCTCGGGTGTTGCTTGTTTTGTATCAGATGTTCCAAGCTTCAAATCCGCAGCGTGGACACCCCAGCCGGTGATAAATGACATCATGCCGATGCTGGACTGGATGCACATAGGAAAGCACTCTGATGCGCTCGATTTGCCCAACCCGAGTGGGGCAGAAAAGGGCGCACCCTTTTTGTTGGCAGTGGGCGTCTCAAAATCAGGGCAGCCCCTTTACTGCCAGCCAAAAAGGGGGTTCCTAAAAGAAAACACCCCCACTTTAAAGGGAAGCCCCCTCAGAGGGCACTCGAGATCCCACTTCACCAAAACCCAGTAGATATGGACGCCCAGTGGCTTTCCAGATGCCACGGGCACCAGAATGGTCCCAACTGCTTTTTGGAGATTTTGGACATGCTGGACGTTGAATTCCTAGGTCCTCCAGTAGAGAGGCTAGAATAAGTTGGTACCAACTTTTTCTGTAGTCGATTTTAGTAGGGGAACCCTCCCAACCCAAAAGGGGTGAGCGAGGGCACTACTGGACCTAGCTTCTGCAGCTGCCCGGGTGGGTTGGAACAAACCCAGGCGTCTCGACTCCCAACTTCCCGGCTCAGGCCGGTGGCAAAGGCACACACGCGACCCCTGTAGGATTCCTGGAGCAAAAGCCGAAACCGGGGCTTGTTGGTTGACGTTGGAAGGGGAGCAAAACGTTAAATGTTAGCAGCTAAGTGGGGATTTCAACCACTAAACCACAATGAGCAAAAATGTAAAATGTTTCCCAACAACAACCATGGCTTGGTATAAAACCTCCTGGGCTTGCCACCCTGACCACCGGTCAAATACTCAACCAAAAGTCCTGTGCTATCATGGTGTCCTCCATCGCCAAAAGAGGTTGGTCAACCCCACCCAGTAATTCCAGTTGCCACTAGGGTAGGTGGTATAAGGGCCTTGCCAGCCGCCGAAATCAAACGGAAAATGGCTGCTGACCATTTAAGAACTTGGCTTGCCCGCACGCCAAGAACAAAGGGCCCCCATCTTGTGGTGGGGGCCTCACAGGAGCACGTGGTTTCGGTCTCACCGGCACACGTGGACACTCCAGCCGTTTCTGGTCTCACAGGAGCATGTGGTCGCTCAAAGTACTGCGCCTGCCACGCAATCCAGCCCCGCATCTGCACTCTCGCAGGCTGCTTCAGAAGCGTGCGCGTGCTAATTTAGCGCGCGGGCGCAGCTTTTCAAACGTCGGAGCACGCAGCGGCTCGGGTCTCACAGGAGCACGTGAGCGCTCCAAACCACTCAAAACAGCGTGCCTGCTACGAAATCCAGCTGCAAAACCCACGCGGGACCTGGCTTCAACTGCACTCATGCAGGTCGCTTCACAGGCATGCGCGTGCCAACTTAGCGCGCGGGCGCAGCTTTTCAAGCGTCGGAGCACGCAGCAGCTTGGGTCTCACAGGAGCACGTGAGCGCTCCAAGTCACTCAAAATAGTGCGCCTGCCACGAAATCTAGCTCCAGGAAGGACTGGCTTCCTTGTGTGCGGGGGGGATGGTAAGCACCCGCTCAAGCGCACCCGCTCAGCACTGCATCCACACACGCGAAAGAGCCACGCGTGCGGGGTGGGGGGGGCAATGGTAAGCACACCCGCTCAAGTGCACCCGCTCAGCACTGCATCCACGCACGCGAAAGCGGAAGCGCACTTGCCCAAGCGCATCCGCGCTGCATCCACGCATGCGGGGGGGGGGTGGGGGGGGGTGGGGGGGGGATGGTAAGCACACCCGCTTAAGTGCACCCGCTCGGTCACAAGCGCACCCGCCCAGCACTGCATCCACGCATGCGGGGGGGGGGGGGCTCAAGTGCACCCGCTCGGCACTGCATCCACACACGCGAAAGAGGAAGCGCACCTGCATCCACGCATGCGGGGGGGGGGGGGGTGGTAAGCACACCCGCTCAAGTGCACCCGCTCGGCACTGCATCCACACACGCGCAAGAGGAAGCGCACCTGCATCCACGCATGCGGGCGGGGGGGGGGTGGGAGGGGGAGGGTGGGGGGGGGGTGGGGGGGGGGTGGGGGGATGGTAAGCACACCCGCTCAAGCGCACCCGCTCGGCACTGCGTCCACGCACGCGAAAGAGGAAGCGCACCTGCATCCACGCATGCGGGTTAGCGGCTTCTCGCAAGTAGCGAGCTGCTGCCTCTAATGCGACATGAATCGACGTGCCGCCTGATATCGCTCCTGCATACGCGCGATGTCCTCGGACGTGATCGGAGCCGCCGTGTTGAGGTCACTCATCATGGCAGGCAGAGCGCGCGACTTCCGTTTGCTTGAGCTGCGCTACGCCTGCGTGTCGCGACTCGTGTGGTAAGAACGTGCGGTCGCCTCGTGTTGACCTTCGAAAAGCGTCCCTCTAGCCGCTCACTTCCAAGCGCGCGCGACACTACGCACGTAGAGCGTCCCTGTGGCCGCTTCCTTTGCAAAGCACGCAGAAAAGCCAGCGACATGAAGAAGAAGCACGAGGCCGAGTGCAAGACGCAACCGCCCCGTGCATCCCTGGATGGGATCACGCATGGATGAAAGGCTTGCACACGCGTACGCTACTAGTGCGGTTTTGCTTACATGCGCGTGCGAGGCTCACGCGCTTTGCCTTTTTGGGGGACACGCGCGGTATCACATGCGCCGGCGAGACCCACGAAAAACTTGCCGTAACTTGCCCAAAGTACCGCACCTACCACGAAATCCAGCCCACGACATGCGCGAGCGAGACCAAATTTACGTGCGCCTGCGAGCCGAAAACCACGTGCGCTCGCGAGGCCGTGACCCATTTTCAACCATCGAATTGGGATCCTGAGACTGGCAAGTCTCGCGGAAGAGATCTCCACTAAACTGGTCCCAAACAAGCTGATTTGGTCAACCAGCACCCCCCAACTGCTTTTTCCCATCCGAAACGCCAACAATTGCGGGGGGGGGGGGAGGTGGGCTGCAATGAACTCAACGGTCTTTTTGCCAATGGTAAAAATCCCAAGCGTCCAAAACACAGTGGGACGCATGGGGGGGGCAGTCAAATTGAACTCAGGCGATGAGAAGTTCTGCAAAACTGGCAAAAGTTGTCGCCTCTGCCGCGCGCAGCTGACTCTCGTACTTCATGTCGCCTTTGCCCATGAGCCTCATGCGAGCCATCGGCAAAAAACTCTTTTTTTCCACTGCAGATTACGCAGATTGACATCGGTGTCGGTGTCGGTGTCGGTGTCGGTGTCGCTGTGTGTGTGTGTGTGTGCCTGTTTTGGATTTGGACCCCCAAAACGGTGTTCCTTTTGGATTCCCGATAAAACCAAGCAAAGAGAGGGGTTCCCTTAAAGACGGAATGCACGAATTGAGCCCCCTGATCATCTGATCTGTCTCTGGGTATCTTGACCAAATCTCCTGCCAAAATTAAGGCCCCCTTTTACCCAACGGGAAACCGCTACACTTCTAGAGGTGGATTCCCCATTCTTCTCAACCATCGTTCTTTTCAACCACCAGCTATTTTCCCTGGGTGTCTGGAGGTGTAGAAAGATCCGGATCCCTGGAAAGAATGGAATTGGAAGGTACCCCTACACTCGCCATGGGGTCTTTTGTTCCCATTTCTGGGAACCCAGGAAACAGGCAGCTGACCAATTCGCGGATTCAGCCTCAACAAAAGCTGGCCTATCCAGTCGGGGTTTGATCTTTGCTAAAGTACAAACAACAAACCGCTTCAATACTGGTGAAGTCTACAACACACACTGAACAAGGAAAAATGACCAAACTGGAATCAAACAAAACGTGAATGGGCATGTGCCAGAATAGGTTGACCCCACATCCTCGGTGATTTCGTTTTGGGCTTCCTTTACACCAACCTAAAACACAACATGGACCTTTCCATGCTTGGCCACGAGAGACAATTTAGGCTTCATTGTCGTGATCAAAACCTGACATCAGCGGAGTCGGCCAAGGATCTGTCTGCTTTGGGGAACCACAAGAAGACTGACAGGGTCTCTAATTTTGAGAACTGCGCATTGACCACGGAACCGTTTTGCACAACCGCCTTCGAAGTGAAGTTGCTTTTTGTGTGATTGTCAGCTAGCCATTAGCTGGTGGAAAAAAGTGGAAACCACCCCAAACAAAAAGCAAAAACAAGAGTGATGGGGGTACAGGGAAGGCGGGGTCTTAAAATAGGGAACACCCCCCAAAAAAAATAAAAATGAACTAAAGAAGGGGTGTTCCTGTTGGTTTCCCTTTAAACCACTCCAGAAGGGGTGCCCTCAAACAAAGACCAGACACTGTTTATTGGCTTCTAAGGCTGCCGCGCAATCTGAACGTAGCCATTCACGCCATTGCCCTGCGCTCGCTGTACAAATGCCACAGGTGCAAAGGG